CTGCTGAAACTGGGTTGATCCTGCAAAACTCTGAACATGTGTCAATTCTCCAGCTGTAAGTCAAATCTACCTAGGAATGATCATCAGGTCATTGTGACTGCATATGGCCTGTGACCTTACTCAGAGGGCAAAACTCTCGTACCTTAGTCTTCCCTTGCAGGGCAGCAGAAAGTACCTCTAAGTGGAAAGCAAAGACACTTACGTTTCTCCTGGACATAAAGATAACCCTCCATTGTATAAGGGCTGATATTTTTGTGCTCATGAGGATTCTCCTTCATCTTCTTCATCAAGGATTCAACCTCCGACCTGGTGCCTTCAAAACGATTTCTTGTCTGGACAGGATTTTAAAAACAGATTGTTATCAAGTCTACATTTTTGTCAGAATTTTTAACAAAAGCAACATTCAAAGAAAAGCCACCAGTTATGTGGTCTGCCCAGTTAAGACAGCTAAATAGTGACATTACCAAATGTTTGCCTACTGTGAGCTGTAGGGCTTCGGCTTGCCTGGCCTCGTGAACTGTGGTCTAAGGTCCCTATTTCCTGTACTGCAAACTTCCCCAGCTGACATACATCTCCCCATGTGCTGTATGTTTTCCCACCTGAGGGGCAAACACCACACCAGCCTGCTGCAAAATAGGTTCACAAGGCAAGATTTAATTCTTTAAAAACCCACAAGCAGGCACCATGGAATTCTCTACTCCCGAAAGAAATAAGTTAATTTGGATCCTTCGGAGAAAGTCTACCATCACTACTTTTTATTTTCTAGTGGCAAGCAGTGGATGTTTCAGTAAAGATCCCTAAAAACAGGCCTCCACTTGAGGGAACTCTAAGTCATCCTGTCAATTGCTACCTTAACCACATGTCAAGCTGTGTAGAGGAACAAGTGTTGCAAGTTGTCTCAGCTTAAGAATTCCTGATGTCTGCTATAGATGGGAAAAAGATGAGAGGCACTTCCAAAGACAATACTTTGAAATACTTGTTAAAATGATGGTGCATTTAATGATGGCTGCCTTTTTGCCAAATCCTCCTGGGAATGTCTGGCTCTCTACACTTGAAAGCCAAGTGGAACTAATTGCTATTCGGGTTGTGTGTCTGGTGTAGTGTCATCTACAAAAAAAAGCCTTTGCTTTCAATTATGCCATCAAACCTCTTGCTAGGTGGCAGACAGAAAAGCTAATTAAATAAAGGGGGAGCAGGGAATGTTAATCCTGCCTGGAAGGCAGACACATGCACACAAAACTTTCCCCACTGCACACTTACGTTCTGGATACTGATTGTCAGCTCAGTCTTGAAGTCACTGAAGTCCTTTGCAAGTTCATAGCCATGATGGTAGAATGTGAACAGGCCCTGAAGGAATGCCAGCAACTGCCAAGTGACATAAAAAGGAACTAAGTTTGTCAAGCTAGACCTGCAGCCATTTTTCAAAATGGAGATTATCTACTGAACTAGCATCCTCCTTTTTCAGGCTCCATTTATCCTATATAATGCCTCTGACTAGGCCTTTGGTTATTTTAATAAATATCCTACATATTCCCCCTTCCCAGACAATCTTTACTGACCCCCACGCTCCTCCATCCTGGAAGAGTTTACCCATCAGTTTACTGAAAAGTGGAGTTGCCTTGCCCTGGAAAAAAATCAGGCAATAAGCAGCCACAGCTAAAAGGTATTCCTTCTATTGATTCCAATTTATTTTTCACTTAAAAAGGAATCATCTTCTGTAAATAGCCATAACATATTATAAAACTTCTCAAAAGTAATACAAAAGACACAGCATCTGGGCACATACAAATGTAAGCAAATTTGATTTTTCCCATTTATTTTGTCATCCTGTACATTTTTCTGTAATTCCGCTTCTTTCTTTTATTTCCGGAAGCCTCATTTCACCTCCAGTGTCAGGTGTTACTGATGTTCCATAGACATAATTTATTGGCCCATGACATCCAGTAAGGCAAGAAATCCTGAACAGCCACTTACAGGTTCCACAAACTCAAACATCTTCCTCTCCTGGACTTCTTGGACCTTGAACACATACTCAAGGGAGACTTCATAAAAATGCTGTCGAACGAGGTCCACCTGGCTGTCTGCCTGTGAACATCATAGGGATTAAAAAGGAAACAGAGTCACTACTGGCTGTGAACATTTGGCTGCAAGATTTAGAGACATCTGGGTCTAATGGGAACACATCCATGCAGAACATAAATTTATCAGATATTAGTGCAGGGTTGGACAGATGGTACCGTGATTAAATACAAATCTGGCTCACATGAAGAGACACTTCAGCTGAAAAAATGTAGTTAGTGACTTTTGTGTTCTTACCTCCCTGACAGCTGGATGAATAGCATATATATTAAAAGCAAGAAATGCATAAATTTTACACAGATTTGACAGTAGAACCACTCCCCAGCCTCATTGCCTCAAGTAAACCCACCAGAAGATGACTCACACCAGTAATGCTCTATAGTCAAATGCTCAAACAAGAGGGTATAGACCTTGCGCACCAGACCCCAAAGGTCAGTGAACTTTAACCTTGATAGACCAACTGAAGAAGAGCAGAAAACTCTGGAGCTCTCTTTTGAGAATGCTTTGACTCCAGAGTCCAAGAGAACAGGACTAAGGACTGATCCTCAACTACTACAATGGTACTTATTAGTACACTTAACATACATATACATCAGATGGGAACTAGGTCACTCTGGGCACCACCACTACCCTTTGTTAAACAAAACAAAAAATGCAGAAAAGTCCATGAATCCTGCACATCAACATCCTATCCTAGTTATTTATAGCTTTACAAAGTACATGGCTGGGTTATTTATTCAATTCGCTTCAGCCTTCTCAGACAATAGTTTCATCTGCCTTTTTTTTTTTTTTGTCTTCCACTGTGATTAAAAAACAAGGACTGCCAGAAACCTTTTACATCATCTAGCTGCTCCTCACTCAGTAAAGAATTGTTTCCTGAGGGCTTATCTGTACTACAACATTGTGCTGCATTAACTATACCAACACAGTTAAAGCAGCACAACTGCTATTGTTGATGATAACCGCTAATGTAGTTATACAAGAAGGTGAATAACTTTGCCATTTGGTGGATACATTTATCCTATACAGCGTTCCCTCTAAGCTGTGTGGTGTGCTCGGCTGCACAGGCACACCTGGCAGCATGGCATGAGCACACCTGCACGGCCACACACACACCACACAGCTTAGAGGGAACACTGTTCCTATCCATCTGGGTCCACATAAGGACATGTATCACTATCAGAAAAAAATGCCATGCTCCTAAGCAGAGGTATAATGTGTAGCTCTTAAACATCTTTTGGCCAAACTTGGTGGAAGTTCCCTGGAAAAAGACTGGAGTAGTACTAGAAGTGTAGAATATTCCATGGGCACATTTCCAATGCTGAGCCCAATGCAGAACCTACCATGTGGCCATTTTGACTCATTGCAGGGCATCACTAGCACTTATTTGCTTGCTTTTTAAGACCTTAGCTCCATTAATCCATGACAAACCCATGAAATGGGGCATTTCCAGCATGACCAACCTGTAACATTAGTCATGTGTGCCCATCATGCAGACCAGGAGGTACTTAGCAAAGTGAGCTCTGAAAAGCAAAAAATGTGACATGACATATTGGCCTTGCCAGCAATCAAACAGCAAATTAGACCCACTGTGTGATTTAACTGTGCAGGAGCCAGAGCAGCAGTGCCACACAATACCCATGTTATTCCCCTTCCCCTATATGTGGATTATGCTATTGCCAGCAAAAGGAAGTTAGTGTAAGATGCAGAGTCTCCCATACATAAACTATTGTTGTCCTAAGTCAGGGTTTTATAGCACAGCTGCACAGTGCTAATAAAGGGTGATATGCACTCTTCTAAAGTTACCACTACAACACCAGCTTTTCAACATGCATCTGTCATTTCTCCCCTCTCTGGTATCCAAGGTCACAAAGACAGTAAGTTACACAGCCCCTATGTAGCATGAAGAACTATGGCCAAATATTACATATTTGCAGAACCTAGAGCTAGATACCTCAACCACTCAAACAGGCTGTAATTTTCAAAGAAGCTTATCTCCCACTTTGAACATAAGCACTATACTGGGGCAGACCAATGGGTCACTTACCCCAGTAATTTCTGACAGAGGCAAATAGTAGATGCTTCAGAGGGGGTATATATGAACAGGACATGTGTGGAATGATCTACCCCTTGTCAGAACCTCCTTGGCTTCAACTGTCAAAAACGTGAAGTTTCTTTAAAAAAAAAAAAAAAAAAAAGAGTCAGTGGAACTTGCAGGTGCCACCTACTTGTGAAAAATCAGGCCTCTAAAATTAAATGCATAAGCATGTTAAAAGTGCCTTACACAGTAGGCAAGGAACTGTGAAAATGCTATCCCATTATTCTCTTTATTTCTTGCAAAAAACCAATAAAGGTCTAATATAGAAATCTCCACCAGATGGCACTAGTATTCAGCCTCTACGGTCTTCTACAGTTCTTAATACCACAAAGTAACGCCAACATTTTGAGGTTTACTTTGAAGAAAGCTACCCTAGTGTATAAGTAACAATTAAGGAGATTGTGCATGAACCAGCAAGGCTTGGAAGCTATGCCCGAGAACACCAAAAGCCCATTTTCCATTCACAATTCACTGGTATCATGCCTTGTTTACCACTGCAGTCCTGGCCCTCCATAAAATATTCCAGTACTCCATGTCAAGCATGTAGTAGCATGAGCTCAAAAACAAAATGACGATCCAAGAGTAATGAATCAAATCACATTTAAAAACCCCAAACCACGGGATGCCAATTGACAAACTAAACCACCAGCAAGACTTTTGGCACAGGTATAAAAGAGTAAGTAACAAACCCCCATCACACCATCTGCATGGGGAACACAGTTGATATAAGCAGATACAGCAGTGGTGGGGCAGGTTTAGGGGATTCTTCTCCATCCCCCTTCAATGCCTCCTCCACAGATACTGGTTTCAAGCATGTAATCTTTATGTGTATAGAACATCATACAAAAAAATATCTTCTCTGCCCCTGAACAAGCTGACCCTCTGCTCAGCTCACTGCTACAGTTTTTCTCCAAGGTCAAAGATGGAGAAGACCAAAAGTGACTTTGAATTGAAATGCCGTCTTCCAACAAGTTAGTGCTTTGCATTGTAGCTGGTTAATAATGAAATATTTTTCATGACTCAATATGGATTAAAGGAAGTTTAAAAGATGAATTAATTGAGCCTATGAAGCTGGTATCAATGTATCCATTTTACAGGCAGGAAAATCAAGGCACAAAGCAAAATTTTTCCTGAAGTCAGTCAGGAAGCCTTCAGCAGAGCGAGGAGTACAACCATAGGCACCTGATGTCATGCACTTTATCTACAAACTCTTTAAGCCTCTCAACTATTGAAATTGCCGCTACTCCCTCTGATTTATTTTACCCCAACAGATTTGTGTCCTCCAGCTATGGAGAGAGAAGGGAAAATCTATCACCCTGTCATTATGAGCAAACCCATTTCACAGGCACACAGCCCGTTCCATGTGTATTAAACAAGTGTGAGGATGGAGCCCAGTGAGCTGCAACATCAGAAATGGAAAACTAGACACTGCTCTCACCTCTTGCAGTTGAGATTCTTTCTTCTTTGAAGACAAGTTTAAGTGCTTTTCTAACACGCCACAATACTTCTCAGTCTCTTTGTCATACTTCTTCTTGGCCTCCTACAAAAGAGAACAGAAGAAGAATATAAGGAAACAGTTTTCATCTCAGAACCTGAGCAACCTAACTGTGCTTAAGTGACCATCCTTCCTTTCACCAATTACGTCCCTTCTGCACCTCAAAGCGCAGGGGCATGAGGGGATTTCTCTCTCCCCTCATGCCTTCTTCACATGTCAGGGTTATCATTCAGAAGCACACAAGTCACTTGCCCCAAGCAGGTAAGGCAATTAGTTTCAGTTTTCAATACTGATGTCTAAAGACCAACCTAGCAAGCTTGACAGCAGGTCCAGGGCTTCGTACCTAGGAGACATGTTGTGAGGGGCCCAAAAAAGACAAAATGAAGAAAGCAGGAGAAGGGCAGCTTTCTAGTCCCAAGTGACTTGTTAGCTAGCTGGAAATAAGTCATTTTACTCAAACAAATATATGCTTTACATCACAGAAAAGACGCCTTTGCTGGTAGGGCAGCCACACTTGGTGACAAAATCCTGGGTGTTGGCCAGCCCATGTTGACAAATAAAGGTTATGGGATTTAATGGATCTCCTTTTCACACATGTAAGAGCTTCCAATTTTCTTTGTCCAGGACAGCCACCAAGGACAGGGTAAGGCCTTGCAAGTTCAGGTCATGAAAGCAGTAGCAACAGGAGATGAAAGCACAAAATGTATTCTTTGACAGCCATGCTACTGATATGAATTTTTTGATGGAGAAGCTGGGAGACAATTTTGATTACTGAAACTTAACACAGAACAGAGCTTCAAAGGACACTGAAAACAGTCTTGGCAGGTGGGGAAGGATAAATCGATCTGCTACACTCATATTCCTTAGAAAAGAACCAAATTAACTTGGAAATACAAGTTACTTCATTCAAACAATTGCTTTCCTGAGGTGGGACTTCAGGTGACCAATCTACTTTATTCTATACACTATACAGCCTATTCTGAAAAGCTGTGCTTTACTCTCTTGAAGAAATTGAGAAACCACCGTATCAGTGTTTATAACAATCTAAGCTACCAGGGATGTCTGTACACTAATATCCCCCATGATGACAGATTACAAGCCATAATGTCCCAACAAGGACATTGCTTCCATTTCCAACACACTGTCCTGTGTTGTCCTTGCCCACAACTATTTCAGACTGGAACTCCATATATCTACAAATGAATGGCACTGCCATTGGCACATGTATGCCCCCCCAACCTCCAATATGCCAGATGTTAATGACAGACCTTGAAGTCCAATTCCTCTGCAACTGCCCCTCTCATCCCCCTGGCATACCTAAGGTACACTGATGATAATCATCATATGGACAGACAGGAAGGGATCACTAGTGAAATTCCACCTGGAAATTCAACAACATCCACCCCTCTACCAAACTGACTTTGGACTATTCCTACCAGCAAATTCATTTCTTGGACACCATTGTGAAAGTCTGCAATGTCCATATCACCACCATAGTGGATCATAAACCAATAGCCGAGCCCTACATTACAACTGCATCTGTTCTGATACCACTGACTGGAATGCACACCTTAAGGATGTGAAACAGGGATTCCTATAATTACACTGCAATCCCAAAACTAGCCACACATATCAGAGCCAGAGCCCACTACAAATTACTACAATACCAAACCTGAGACAAGGGAAAACACAATCCCTTTGGATGTCATCTACAGCCCCAAGTGTGAACATCTCAGATATTACTAATGACCTCCAAACTCTCCTGGAAAAGGACAATTGTCTCAGGGTAGTCACAGGGGATAAACCTGTCCTGACTTACCTCAAACGACTCTCTCTAGCAACAAACTACCTAACTCCTGTTCTCACCTACACATCAGACCTTGCTACGGATCCTGATGCCAGCTGTGCCTCCTCATCACAGACCACATCAACACTGGGCCAGATACAACTGATTATAACATCTGAGATTCATTCACATGTACCTCTACCAATGTCATACACACCATCACCTGCTTATTGTGCCCCTCTGCTGTCTATGCTGGGCAGATGGGGCTATCCCTACATGTAAGAATGAATGAACATTGATCTGATATCAATACCAGACGGACAGAGAAGCCTGTGGTAAAACACTTCAACCTCCTGGGTTGATCCATCGGTGACAGTGGCTGTTCTTAGACAACAAACCTGCCAAAACAAACTTGAATGGGTAATTGCAGAACAAGAAATCACCCACACACTGGATTGTTTTAAGTACAGTCTAAACCAAGACTATAGATTCTTATCCCATTACCTGGATTAGCTTTTATAAGCTGTATATCCCTCAATGGTTTAATTGCTCTGTTTTTCTCTCTGCTACCCACCTTGCCTCGCTCGGCAGCAAAGCCTCCTTATTCTTTCCCCCCATCCCACCCTTTGTATTCTAATCACTGCTTTCTACTTAGCAGCTCTGCTTCCTGCAGTCCCTTCACAACACCTGATGAAGTCAGCCCTCTGTTTATGAAAGATTAAGCTATACATCTCTGATTTAATTAGTCTATAGAGGTGCAAATCTATAAGCCCATGTTCTGCCTGACTTTCAGACTAATATGGCAAACTACCTCTCTATTACATGGGTCACTCATTTCAAGGGAAAACAGCAGCAAAGTATACATCATAACCGCCACTTTTTCCTCTGAGCGCTGTAAAACAACCTGTGCTACCACTGCAGGTGCATTCTGCAGTACTTGCAGATATCTCCCAGCCAAAGTCACCCTTATGATACCTAGCAGCTGACAACAGCATCCGACTAACATGGATCTTTTTGCCATTGAGGAAGGGGGAAAAAAGTCAAATAATTCAAACAGATTGCAAAAATGTAAGCTGTGGTCTAGAATCCCAGGTGGTAATTTAATAGTTTAAGTTAAATTATTTAACCTGTGAAGCACTTACAGGTCACAGTGACAGCTTCTCTAGAAAGCCGATTGCTAATGGTATTTTGTTAGGAAGAACAAAGAGCATAACACTCAGGCACCTGGAATCCTCAACACCAACATTCACACCTACTATAATCAAAAGCACCAGGAGAATCTTCTTCCATCTTTATCTTCAATATTTCCCCAAGATCCTCCCCATCTCCTCTAACATGAGGGGACTTCAAGACAATCTTCTAAAAGTTATGGTTAAGCATTCCCAGATCACAGGTTGGTCCATTTGCCTTTTCATCTTTGGAACAAATGCTCCAATTGATATAAAAAGGTACAGGAGTGGGGCACAGAATCCAACACCCTATGCCAGGCCATTTCTTCAGAAGTATTTAAGGACATTAACAAGACCTGGAAGCCTAGAAGTAAGCTGGTTCTTCTGTTTTGTTCTTTCAGAATAAAGACCGGAAGAGAAAAACAGAACACGAGCTGAGCCCCAGAGCAGTCCTCAGCTTCCATTTCTGTGGCCACTTCTTAGAGGTTTGACCTACTGGATGATAAACTCCCAATCCGAGCTAAACACGCTCAAATCATATTAGTAGAGAAGAGGAAAGAGATATGAATTTTCTAAAGATCAAATGAAAGTGTCCCCTAGGAAAGTGCAGATTCTGGTTTTGAGGCTTTGGAGGGAAAGGAAGTTCAACTTTAGTTGCACTTCTTAGCCTTTGCCCCATCCTGGTTCACTGCCTGGTCTACAATAGGGTCAGAAAAAACTACATGCTTGATCGGAGCCAAAAGGCCGAGAAGCAACCCAAGATAGTCAAAGACTGCAATCCTCCAGAAGACATCGCTGCTATAGGTGGTATTCAATAGAAAGTACAGACCAGCGGTTCTATCCCTCAAAGCAGAACTGTACAACATTTCCCACATTTCAATGACATTTCAGCTGGAAGAATGTGATCTTTGCTAATTTTTTCCACTGTTTTTGAGCAGTTCTAATTCCAGGCAAGCACAGAATTTACAGACAAATCAGAGCCTGGAAGCACGAGCGACCTACCTTAGCAGCACCAATTTGCTCCTTACGGAATTTCTCCAGTGGTGTGATCAACACCTCGCTGGCATTCTCAATCTAATGCAATAAAGACAAACAGATTATTTTCCAGAAGCATCTGTTCCCACACCGAACCTGCATTACCTTTTACACCTGTCCAAATTAGAGTTAAGACCATCAAGGCAGAGGTCCTCTCTTGCTATGCATCTGTGCAGAGCAACGCAGGGGAGTTTTTTCAATAACCGCATCGATATCATAAAATGCTGGCAGCATGCTATAAAGGGGCTTACTGGGTACCAGGGGTAAATAACTCCCTGCATGCACCAATTTGCCCTTCAGCTTCTGAGTGGTTTAAACCCATCAGATATTTTTGCTTAGAGGATCTCCAGAGAATTTTGAAAATACTTACACCTTGCCAGTGCAAATCGCCTTAGAGTGCCCTATAGTGGCTTGGGATTATATTAGAGATGCCCTGCCTTAGTTTCCCTCTTAGCTCCTGGAATAACCCTCTCATACCTAAGAGCTTTAATATAATGTTTCCCCCTCTCCTAGATTTCCCTTTGTTTTGCTTAAACAATGTCCTTGTCTGCTGAAGGTTTCACCCTCCTGCCCTATAAGCTTTCCCATCTGAACTCAGGCAATGGGAAAGAAGAGCACTTTCAATCCTGACCGGTATACTCTCCCCTTTGTGGGCCTGTCTTCAAGTCCTGGCCCAACACATTTTTCTCACCAGTTCTCACCTACTGTCTTCAGCAGCCTTCTTCTACTGGCTCAAGAGTCCAAGCTATCTAGGTCCTCCTCAAGCCAGGCTTGGTCAACAGAAAGCATCCTTTTAGGTCCTTTGCCAGCACCGGCTACCTAATCACTTTCTCCCCAAGTAAGTCTAACACTAAATACCCATGTGGATAATAATAATAATAGCCCTTATTCATGAGTCATGATATCTACCCTTCCCCAGAGCTGGCTGCCTCTTCCCCCAGTGACTGCTTCAAGCTCTTTCCAACAACCCAGCTTCCGTGGCTAGGTGCAACAGGGCCTTGCAAAGCATCTCTCTGGCCTTAAAAGGGCCAGTATCCAGTTACATACCTCCTGGCAATGGACATTTAGCCAGTCTCCTTTTCAGTAATGTTATCCCCATGAAATGATCAATATTGCAGAAGACAAAAGGGTTGAAAGGAAGACTAAACACTCAGCCACAGCCCTCCAGAAAGGTATTTATAACCGAAACACCATCCCAGAGTAAGCTGCTCAGGTATTTCCAAACTTTGCAGTATCTTGTCGAGTTTTTCTGTTTTTCCTGTCCATAAATCTAGTTCTCTTCTGTGAATCGGGGCTTGTCTACAGAACCAGATTGACACCACTGGAAATGATAGTCTGGTATGCTGAAAAGATACAGCCCAGACAGCCATTTTACCACATCACAGCCCAGCCTGCAGGTCTCAAATCCTCTCAGAGGCACATGTTCCATGTCTCTGAAACGTCTGCTCAGGTTGTCAAGGGTACCAGCTGCAGCAGCAGTTCTTTGCTACAGACACCCTGCCAATAAAAACTGGTCTAAAACCCACTGAACCCTGAACACTGAGCCACCTAGCATCTCCTGCTCACCTTCAGATCTGTTAGGAAGCCAGAAAGATGAGGGCAATTTGCCCTGGACAACTCCCTTTGTGCTGAGAGCATCAGAGTTACTGATTCATGAGCAAATGTGAACATTAAATTATTTAATGGATTTTATAAGATCTAGCCAGACTGACAACAATTTTTCCAGCCACCAGGATATACCTCTTCTCCCTCCCCGCCTAACCTCCAACTAGCTGCAATTGCTCTGATGGGGACCAGAGCAGAGACTGCAGGGAGCATACTCAGTCTTAGTCCGAAGCAGCTTCTGCACTCTATGCTGTGTGGGACACCGTACTCAAAATGAAAGCAAAAATGTACCAACAACCTGAAAAGCAGAATTCAGCCTTTGTTCTCTCAGTGTGGAGCCTGTTAGATTGAGTCACAGTTCACTGTGATTTGCTGCTCCCCTCACACTGCCAAGACTCAGTCCCTGAGGATGAATATTCCCATTTTCTCTGGGACACAACCCAGTGATTCTGGCTCCTGAGCTACAACAGTGGCCTTTGGCCAAACCAGAGAGAGAAATCTGCATAAGTACTTTGTGCCCCTCCTCTGTGCAACCAGCCCAGTCTCCCTACACCACACTGGCCAGAAGGAATCACCACCTTGCCCACAGGAGCCCATTATCCACCCTGAGAGGTAACAAAACCTGCCAAAGGAACACTGGTGTTGTCAGGAGTTGGGCTGGCAGGACAAAAACCTCCATTTCCAAACCCAACTCAGTACTCCCATCAGCTTCTACTCACAACAACAAACCTGTGGCCAAAGACCCACTTTACTCTTCAGCCCTAGTAAGCAGCCATTCTCCCAGCCCAGCATCACAACGATCCAGGCTATTCGCCAAGCCCCCTCCAACAGACAGACTTAGCTCAGATGCTCCAAGCCTCAAAGACCTTACCATGCGCATTCGCTCATCTTCTAGATTCCGGAGAACCGCAGCAAATTCTTGCAGGGACTTTGCTGAAAGAGACACCAACACAGTTAGTACGCGATATCCTCCAACTTTAAAGAAGGGATCGCAACACATCATCAGCAATTACTCTGGCAGAGAGCACAAGAAGCACTGTTCAAGCAGATGAGATCACAGTTACATGCAGGTGGACTCCTCATGTGATCAGCAGGTTGGCTTCTCACTGCTCTCTGGCAGTCAGAGCAAGGGAGTGGATTCAAAATTTTGCTGGAACATCCTCACTATGAGATGCCTGAAGATAGGCTTTGGATGAGTATTATGGTCACCTGTAATAATTACACTCTTGGTGTGGTGTGAAGCAGCACTCGGGGCTCTCTCCATGTCTCTATGTCCAGGTTTCAATCCATTTCTTTTATCCCCCCAGGGGAATCAACCAATTCAGAACTGCTTCTTTCCTTATATTTTACTGAAGCAGAGAAGGGGGAGAATTTGAACCCTGGACTAACCCAAAGGTGCCAACAGTAAAGCTAACACATCCGTCCAGGCAGATGCGAAGAGCAAACCACATCTGACAGTCTAGTTTTTCCTCACCACACTTTTCCAAATTATGAAACACTGGCTTAAGGGCGGCTACACTGTACAAACATATTAATGATTTACTATGTAGCACCTATAGATATGCACTGCATGACTCAAGAACCCTTTCTCATCTCTAATTGTTATTGGTAGTTAATTATAAAAACAAGCGTGTGGAGGAGATGCTCCTAGCTCCAACAAGGGAGTAACTGGCACAGTGGTCTCAAAGGCCTTCTATGCAGTGGGAAGTATTTGCCTTCCCTAGATCGAACATAGGCTCTTCAACACAGCCACCGCACAAGTAATATTTCACTTGGCCACTGCATCTGAGTTGTCCCAGGACCTAGACAAAACTGAGGGTTTGGATGAGAAAGTTACCTTGCTAAGAATGGGATAAAAAAAGTTCACTCAAATAAAAAAAGAAAAAACAACCCAAGGTGTTAATTAAATCTAATTCAGGTATTTTGGTTCCAGTCTGTGTGAAGACAAGAGCCAAGGCAAACCTAAGGGAAGAGAGGATTGCTAAGGAGAGCTAGTTGGCTGGGGGAAGGCAGCGACAGGGTCTGCTTCTTCCTTTAGTACCTGGACTCACAGTCTGGGAAGTCCCACCATGCCTCCATCTGCTTCTCTTTGTGCAGACAGCTGTGCCCAGCAGGTCTCCATCACCTCTGCTCAGCGTGAAGGTTGCAGCCTTCTCTCAAAGAGGATCCCTTTGCTATAGCTAGCCACAGTTTTGTCCCCAGATGCTCTGCTTTAGAATGGGAAAGGGCTGGCACCAGAACATTTCTAATGACAAGCCCCTTGTCCATGAAATTCATTTTCTCTAGATTTGACAGTCCAATTTGGGTTTGCTCAAACAGGGACCTGAAAAGGACGTCTTTCTGTACGCTAGAAAGGAGACAATGGATCTGCAAGGAGCACGAGTGCCTTTCTGTGAACCCCCATTGCATGCAGATGCACCCAGAGCTCTGACCAGTTCATTCCATAAAATGTAGAACAAGATTCCCATGCCTCTTTACCACACACATTACTTACCTATACAGATTTCATCATCGGTTTCTGCATCTCCTATACATCGGAATTTAAACTCATTTAGGGACTCTGCAAACTTCCGTTTAGCCGAAGACAGATCTATAAAGGTGGGGAAAAAACCCAAAGAAATACGTATAAATTGATGCAATAGTCAGCCTTGGCCCAGGAGCCTGTGATCCCGTCAGACCTGCCCCAGCCTGCTTGGCTAGAGTTCATGGGTGGTACACACTGCCTACCACCCAGGGAGAGACTCCATCAGTGAAACCCTGGCCCCACCTAGCTCAGCTGGAGTTTCACTATTGCATTTACTAGGCCCAGGATTCATCCCCAGGTGCTTCGCTCCCAGGAGATGCTGATAGCAATCTTCCTTCAGAGTCAGCGTTAAACCAATGCTTCTGCACTGCATTACAGCACACTTAATGGGTCAGGATATTGAAGCTCATCACCAAAGATCTCCCAGGACTTTCATAAGAGTAGGGAGGTTTGTCCGGCTGTCCTGGCTGATGTCCAGCTGAGTAATTATATTCTACCAGCTTTCGGCTTTAAAACTATGGCACAACATTGCTGTTAATGAACACCAAATTTCACCCCAATTTTGACTGATAAGGTCTGCTGGGGGGGTGTTAAACTGTTTAGCAAGCTTTCTATTCCAAGCATACGCTAGCTTTGTGATCTTTTTCCAGGAAAGGGGCCATCTCAGAATTTAAATGCACATATTTATTACTTCACAGATCTAAACCCCATCAATTTACCACTTGAAATAGCACAGTGGATACAGAGAGGATTTTCATAATGCCCTCAGTGCATTAGGGCCACAAGGTCAATTGGCTTAGAATGGGCACCTAAGTCAAACATGGGCTTCTAAATCCAATCATCATCTAAATTCCTGGTATTGCTCACCCCCTTCCCCAGTGACTTTCCCCAACCCCTCAGAATTTAGTAAAGTTCCTTTTTCCGCAGCGAAAAGACTCATCCCTCTGGGAGTTTTGAGAGAGCAACAGAGACAATTAATCCAAGACACTCCTTTCCTGAGGAATGAATGAGCTGAACTCGCTTTAGACTTAACAGAGGATTTTCTTCGGCTGATGGGAAATGTAGCGCTTCCTTTTATCTGACTTGACCCATCCTGTTCTTGGCATCACCAGGGGACGGCAAATTGCTCAGGTTGCTAGAACCTGATTCTGTAAATATTCCAACGTGCCAGTGAAATTACACCCCGTGGCGCTTACAGGAACAGGCCTCCTTTGGAGGAAAGAGAACACTAAACACACACAAGAGCAAGACGAACATCCTAGGAAAGTGAACACAATCCAGGTTTGGGAAGGCTTCCAGCAGCAGAAAGAAAGGTCAGCTAATCAGTGGGACCTGCCAGATATGACATGAATGGAAGGAAGGACAATCACCGCTTTGTGAAAGGCTTTTTACCTCCATAAGGCAACAGAAGTTCCCTGTTTCAGTTGCTTTTTGGGAAAGCAATATTTGCCAGCCACAAAGCCTTCAGAAAAAAAGGCATCTGGGCTCTGTCTGTGAGGGAGGGACAAAGTGCAAAGGGACTTGTGGAGGCTGTTCTAACGATCAGGACAAATACCCGCGGCCAGGCAGCTCTGTTGCCCTAAGGGACGTGGGAATGAAACATTTTACACATTTTAAAAAGATACTCCCGGCATATGACATTCTTTTCATAAACACTTCTGTCTGTTACTCAAGACCCCATCCTTACTTCCCCATCTTTATGCAGCTGCTTTGCTTTTCACACTATCCCATGCCACACACAACCAAACTAAAATGATCTGCACATTTGGGCATACACTTCTTCACAACACCTCCTAAAGGTCAAGAATTCCCCTGTGAAATGCATGCCTACTTGTCTGAAGGCAAGTTAGTGCTGGATTGATCACGGGCAAAAATCCACAAAGTACCAACCACCTAGGTAATTCCAGCCAACCCGTCTCCCCTCCAATACAGGCACCCCCCCACCATTTACCTACACCTCATCTTGTCCCATGCTGCTGCCTCCTGCCCTCTCAGCTCCCTCACTTCAGTTGCTACGATAGAAGAATAAAGCTTTGTGACTCTCTCCCTGATCCCCCTGATTTACTTGGGACGTTGCCAGAGGAGGCATCCAGCCAGCTGCTTAGAAATCCAGGGTCTCTGTAGGAGACCAGGGCATGGCACAGGGCTACTGGTAGATACAGTAGCTCATTTTGTGTCTTCCATGGCAGCTTCCAACGCTTGTTTTGTTGAAGGCTTTTGTTCTGGGGTCTTTTTAAATAAATAAAACCAGAGTTATTTAGGGAAGGTGAGAGTTAGAACAGCTTGTTCTTTTACCCAAAGAGCTTGGCCATTGCAAAATGCGAGGCCACCGGAAGGGCAGACAGGCACTCAAGTCAAGAAGCACAAGAAGAAAGTTGCAGCATCACGCTCAAATTGCTGTATAGCCTCATGTCCTTCTTTGGGACTCAGGTAAGCAGCCAGGTAGTGGAGCTGGATGAGGTTTCTCCAATGGATGCTCTGCCATCAACCTACAAAATACTGCCTGGGTCATCCAACCTGCTGCTCACACTGAGGCCACCATAGGGAAATGGGTGCTGGGAGAAGGAAGCTTGTCCCAAAATATTAATGAAAGTCTCTACCATCTAAATGGTGACTTCTGGCTACTTTGAAGATAAGTTTGCTGCCTTTCTGTAGGGGCCCATAAAAAATTTCACTGCCTAAGCAAAAGCTTGTGTTTGCACTTTGAGGATCCAATGGAAGAAAGCAAGCTAAACATTTATTTCTTGCCCCCAGCCCCCAGCTCAGAGTTTAACCTAGTCACTCTACGCCAACCATATAACTTCTGTTAATAATAAGGAAACTGCCATTCATTACTCAAGGATCCTTTTCCTGTTTCCAAGCCCTGCACTGACCTCAGGGTTGCCGATTTCGTTTGTACAACATATTGCCGCACTTTTCTCTTTAAACGTACCACAGGCCTAATAATATCCTGACTACATAACGTGCTGTAGATCCCCAGTCAAAACAGATTTACTACTACATCATTCACTCCTGCAGCTCTCTGGGCAGGATCCAAATGCCTCATTCCACCATGGAGAGGAGGAGTGGAAAGAGGCTGGTGAAAGGGCTGGGAGCAAGCCAAGCTCACACAGCCCATTTCAAACAGGCAGTGTAATACATGACAGAGAGTAACTCAGGGTCAATAATATTTACATTTTGGCAGCGTCCGTTGCTACAGCTACCCAAAATATTAAATGGCTCACAAAAAACGGGGGGAAAAACAAGAGAGACTAGGTGTTTGGACCCTGGGGTTCTATTCCCAACATCGCTGCATCAATAAAAGATCTGGACTGGTGACAGACAACCACACCTCTTCTCCAGGAGCCTTTGCCTAAGGGTACCAACTCATTTCATCTCTATGGAGTCATGTGCAATCAAGAAACAGGCTCCAAAGACAACAATATGCCAATGTGTTTTCTCACTCTCCATGGCTGCATCTAATGCCATCATAAAAATGCCACAGCACTTGGACAGAGAACAACTGCCTCAAAACAAAACCCAGGCCACCTTGCTCAAAAAAGAGTTAACCTGGACAACCCCATAGCCCCATCTCCCACCACCACCCTTGCCCACTGAAGGCATCAAGTTCGGTTTCTGAATCCCATTCAATTTATTAATCTTAGTCACAAGGAGCACTGCTACTTACTGAGAAGATGCCCTGACACTGCAGAAGCTTCTGATGGAAATCAGATAGCTACCATAAAACCAACTACACAGTCTTCATCTGACCATTTAAAGTACTTTATGAGCTTTCAGGCCTCCGCACAGCAGGAAATAAATATTCCCATTTTATAGTCAGGGAAATGATGGCCAAGAAATTAATACAGGCTTTGTTTGAGTCTTCCAGTCAGGGGGTTGGTCAGGATTACACCTCCAAGCTCCTCTGACTAAGACCAGGACTGTCCTCTGCTTATTTTGGGCTTCATTACTATAGTCAATATATTCATATGTTATGTAGCAGCTGAATACATTACCTCTGGTAACCAAACCTTATTATTTAGTAGACAATTAGCCATTGTGTATTTTAGGTGCAGATGAGTAGACCATGCTAATGAGACTGGGCTTGAAGTCTGGCTGCTGGTATGCTCCACTTGTCATTTAACACATTCTTTGGAGTATAAGCCAAGCAGAAGTGCCTCAAATCAAAGCAAAATTGCCTGGGAACCAGCGCCTACCTTTCGCTACACTTCAACAGTGTCTCAGATGCATTATAAATAGACAAGGATGGTGGAGAGAGAAGGGAGATAATTTCCAGCACAAAGATAAAATGAAAACTGCTCACAGCTACTTGCTGAAGCACACAATCAAGTCACAAGAAGTAAAAGGAGACAGCTAAAATTAGGCACAACCTAAAATGTACCAAGTGGACTTAGGAGACCGGGTGAGAGAAGAAAAGGCGCTGCTTTGCACACCAGACTTATCAGGAAAAATACCATAAAAACAATTTGTGCAAATAGAGTGAAATGAGTTTCTCATTCCACTTTGTGTGCAATAGTTAAAGCAATGCTCCAATGCATTTACACTCCCAAAGTACAGGATTCCTAAAAACAATTTTTACAAAACCTACGATCAAGTGAAGTATTTCCATCACCAACATTTTAACATTCCAGTGAGAGATAGCTTGCTCTGCCTAAATATTCCTTCATGCTGTTTGTGATCCAAACACTACAGAGGTGCGATGGCTCAAGAGAACCAGAAAATGAGACTCCCTATGTCTGGCCACTGGCCAAGCTGAAAGTAATGTCAGATGCAATCAGCAGAAACGGTAAACAAAAATTTAAATTCATCATATTTACTTGAATATAAAACACAGGTCCCGTCCCGTCCCCTCCCCGCCCCCCTTAGCACAGTGGGGGGGGGGGGGGGGGGGCCGCCTTACATCTGAATACAAAGCAACCTCTTTAAACATATTGTCTGTCATTAAACTGCCATAAGCAGCATGTGCTCAGGAATGGAAACCAACTCTGAAACTGATAAACTGCAGCCAACACTGAGCATGGCTATAAAAACACACAGCTCATATGGGGTAAATAAATAAATATATG